TTCCCTCCGTAGTCTTTTCTAACGTACACAGAAGCACGTTAAAATGCTTTAACGTGCTTCTGTGTAATACTGATTGATAATAATTTTAGTTATGACTAAAGGAAGGGGCTGCTAATGATAGATGATGATAATGATGACAGTAATGATAATGATAATAATAGCGATAATAATGATAATAGCGATAATAATGATGATAATGATAATATTGACAATAATGATAATAATAATAATGATAATGAAAATAAGGGAAATAATGATAATTATGATAATAATAATGATAATAATGATAATGATAATGATAATGATGTTAGTGATGATATTTGTAACGATAACAACATTCATGAAACAATGATATTGATAGTGAAAATAGCGATAATATTGATGATAATAATAATAGTAATAATATTGTTCATGATAGCAATAATAATAACAACAATAATGATAATAACAATTATGGTAATAATGATAATAACAATGATGATGATAATGATGATAACAATAATGAATTGTAATACTAATAATGATGATTAGTAGTGAAGGAAATAATAGTCATGGTAATAATAATAATGATAGTTATAATTATATTGATACTGATAATAACAATAGCAATAATGAGGATAATAATAATAACAGTAAACACAATAATAATGCAAATTATTACAGTGATGATGAGAATAACAATAATGATAATAGTAATGATTATAATGATAATTATACTACTACTACTACTACTACTAATGATAATATTAATAATACTACTGCTACTACTACTACTAGTAAAAATGATAATAATAATGATTACAGTAATGATAATGATATAAGTAATAATAATGATGATGATAATGATAATGATAATGATAATGATAATGGTAATGATAAAGATAATACTAATACTAATAATGATAATAATAATAATAGTAATGATGCTATGATGATGATGATGATGATGATAATGATAATGATAATGATAATGATAATACTAATACTAATATTACCACAAATAATGATAATAATAATAATAATAATAATAATAATAATAATAATAATAATAATAATAATAATAGTAATAATAATAATTATGATTATCACTATTAGTATCACAATGACAATGCAATAATAACAACAAGACCGATAATGCTAATAAAGTGAATAAACAAATAAATAAATGGTAGTTTTGATGCTCATATTAACCATGCTATGAATTATCATAATGATAATCACACTAATGGTAGCAAAAAAAGAAGAATGAAAAAAGAAGATAAAAATAAAAATAAAGAAGAAATAAAAAAAGAAAAAAAAACAATAAAAGAAAAACAAAAAAGAAAAGAAAGAAAAAAGAGAGAACAAAGAAAGTAACAAACCAAAACCAAGAACAAAACAACCAAACAAAAGAAAATAAAAAACAACCAAAAATTGGCAAAACCACAGAAGAAACGAAAAAAAGAAGAAAAATAAAAATAAAAATAAAGTAACAAATTAAAATTGAAACAAATAAATAAAGAAACAATCGACAAAACAAATCAAAACAAAACCACAGACTCCTTCCATCATAAAAAATAGAAAAAAAATAAAAATAGAAAAGAAAGAAAAAAGAATAAGAAGCTAGAAATAGAAAAGAAAGAAAAAAAAATAAGAAGCTAAGAAAAGAAAGAATGGAATGACGTGGCTTCTTCTAAGAAGAAAAGAGGCTAAAAATAGAAAAGAAAGAAAGAAAAAGAAACTAAAAATAAGAAAAAAGAAGATAAAGGAGAAGAAAAAGAAGAAGAAAGAAAAACCTTGGTTCACTCTAAGAGAAAAGAGGCTAAAATTAGAAAAGGAAGAAGAAGAAGAAGAAGAAAAAAAGAGAAGTTGAAAAAGAAAAAAAAGAAGCTAAAAAATAACAAAAGAAGAAAAAAAATAAAGAAAAAGAAGAAAAAGAAAAAGAAAAGAAAAAAAGAAAAATCTGAAAAAAAAAAAAAAATAAAAATTAAAAAAGAAAAAGAAAAAAAGAAAAATCAGAAGAAAAAGAAAAGAAAGAAAAAAAAGAAAGAAAGAAAAAAGAGAAAAAGAAAACTGAAAATAACGTGGCTCCCTCGTTCGTCGACAGGATTAACCTTTCGGATTTAGGATTAGTGTGCCATTATTCCCTCTCCTTTCAGCTTAGGTTGACACGGGCGCCGAGAATAGCGTTGTTGCAAGTTGGTCTTTTCCGAGGGAGGGAGAAGGAGGATTGCAAGGGACGGGATAATGAGGGGGGGGGAGGGGGGGAGAGGGTGGGAGACGGGTGTGGCGAGGAGAGGGGGGTAATGAAGGGGGAGGGGTGTGTATCGGAGAGGGGGGTAATGAGGGGGGAGGGGGGAGGGGTGGGTGGGAGAGGGGAGTAGGGAGGAAGGGTGTGGGGATGGGGTGGGTGGGGATAATGAGGGGGGGGAGGGGGGTGTGGGAGAGGGGAGTAGGGAGGAAGGGTGTGGGGATGGGGTGGGTGGGATAATGAGGGGGGGGAGGGGGGTGTGGGAGAGGGAGTAGGGAGGAAGGGTGTGGGGATGGGGTGGGTGGGGATAATGAGGGGGGGGAGGGGGGGGAGAGGGGTGTGTGGGAGGGAGGGTGTGGGAGTGTAGGGGTGTGGGGGGGAAGGATGTGGAGGAGTGAGTGGGGGTGTGGGGGTGTTTGGGGGTGTGTAGGGGAGGAAGGGTAGTGAGGGAAGAGGTGGGTTGGGGTGTTTTTTGGTGAGGGAGTGTGTGTGTGTGTGTGTTTATGCATGTGTTTGGTGTGTGTGTGTGTGTGTGTGTGTGTGTGTTAGTTGAGGGTGTGTTGCGTGTGTGTGTGTGTATGTATGTTTGAGGGGGGGGTGGGATGTATGTGTGTGTGTGTATGTATGTTTGAGGAGGGGGGAGGATGTGTGTGTGTGCGCGTGTGTGTGTGTGTGCGTGTGTGTGTGTTTGAGGGGAGGGGAAGTATTTTTTGTTGTTTTTCTTGTCTTTGTGGTATGAGCGAGGAGGTTGTGATTGTTGTCTTTGGTATTTGTTATGAGGTATTTGTTACAGGGATGGTGATAATGTAGTTGTGTCTTTGTTTGTTTACGAATTAATTTATTTGTTTATTTGTTTTGTGTACTGGCATACATACATTTGCACATACACCAGCACACACACACACACACAAACACACGCACACAAGCACACATGCACACGCCCACAAACACACACACACACCACACAAATAAATCCATACACATGCATATACACCTACCCCCAAATACACATTTAAAAACACATTACCACACAACCACGTATACAATCATACACCTGAATATACACACAACACCATCAATAAAAAAAAAAAAATCCTTGACTCACCTCCATAAGACACCTGAATCTCTCCTAACTTTCCCTTACCTCCAAAAGTACCTTCTAAAATTTCCAAACATCCAAAATATCCCCTTTACTTCATCATTTTTCTTTTATCTCTCTCTCTCTCTTTTTGACTCAATGGAACCCGAAACGATTCGCTCGAATTATTGCTAACTGAAACTGACATACCCCAATTAAACTGCAATAACCGATAAAGACCTCAATAGAATGAGCGTAGACGTGTCACTCGTCACAGCTGTATATTGATTTCAAATTCCCCGGCCTATATACTGTCTCCTCCTCCTCGCTGTTGTTAATGCTGGGGATAACGATGGGTGATGATGATGGTGATGGTGATAATGGTGGTGGTAGGGATAGGTGTGATAAGAGTACTGCTGCTGAGGAGTATGGTGATTGAAAAAATATGGTGATGGGGATAGTGTTATTGTCTGTAGTGAATGGGATAAGGGTACTGCTGCTGAGGAATATGGTGATTGAAAAAAATATGGTAATGAGGATAGTGTTATTAGCTGTTGCAGTTGTGTGAAAATGGTGCAACTGAGATATATGGTGATTGAAGAAAACATAGTGATAATGATAGTGTTATTAGCTGTAGTGAATGTGATAATGATGGTGCCGGTGAGGAATATGGTGATTGAAAAAATATAGTGATGATGATAGTGTTATTAGCTGTTTTAATTATGTGAAAATGGTGCTGCTGAGGAATATAGTGATTGAAAAAAATATGGTGATGAGGATAGTGTTCTTAACTGTTGTAATTGTGTGAAAATGGCGTTGATGATGAATATGATGATTGAAAAAATATAATGATGAGGTTAGTGTTATCAGATGTAGTAAATATATGATACTAATGGCGCTGGTGAGGAATACAATAGTGGAAAAAATATAGTGAAAAGGGTAGGGTTAGCAGTTTTAAAATGATAATGATAGCAATAATGGTGATGGTGATAATAACAATATTAATGATCGTGATTATTATGGGGGCGATAACGATAATCATAATAACAATAATAATAGATATAACAATAATAATAATGGTAATAATAATAATAATGATAGTAATAATAATAATGATAATAATAATGATAATAACAATAATAGCAATAATAACACTAATAACGATATTGTTAATGATAATAATAATGATAATAACAATCATCATCATAATGATGAAAATTATAATGATAATAATGATGATGACACTGATCACAATGCCACAAATGACGTGAATGACAATGCAAATAACAATGCTGAAAATAATAATGAAATAGATAAAAAAAAAGACCGAATTTCCCTACAATGGAAAACATGTCTCATCTCTGGCTTATTGCAAGAGTGTGCAGATGCCTCCCTAAACTGCACTAATAGTTGCTTCGCTTTGTATTTTGCAATCATAGAAAAGGGTGTTTGGATGCATTCACGAGGTACAAGACTCAGCAAGTGGCTATGATACTCAACTGCTACAGAATTACATGTTATCTCTATTGCTATTGACAGCATAACGCGCAGTGCTGGGAATATGATCTTTGTGTAGTAATGTCAGTGTTATTGTCATCATTATCAGTGTGTTTACTGTCATCGTTATCCTTCATTAGCACTGACAATGTTATTGGTTTTATGCTGCAGTCTGCTAGTTTTATTAGTGTGAGTATGATTATGAAGATTAGCATCATCGAGGTGAGGGAGAGAGGCAGGTGATGAAAAGCAGTCTATGAAAGCCCATTCAGGTGTAAAAATCATCTGGGATTTTTTTAATTGATACAAACGGGCGTCATTTTGCTGACGATCAAGTTCACCGAATACCTCCTCGACTTTCATATTTCCATGGATTTCGATGTTTTAAGTGAATTGACTGGAAAGAACTGTAAATGCTGGATAGTCAGCACGAGAGAGGATAAACGTTATATCTCATTACTTACATATTTAATACGAAGAGTGTCGAGTTCTTTCACCTCCAAAACCGTATTAATGTTGCATGTCTACGAGCACCTGCATGGGTTGTGAAGCTCCCTTTAGTACAATGTCATATTTTGTGCATTATTGTTTATTTGAAGCCCTCCTATGAAACGCTGTGAATATGGGCTTCGTATGGATGACACTAATACTACAAGCAATATATAAGGAATTTGAGAATAGATCTGGATGTAAGCTCTTCTCTGCGAATATTTTACACGTCTTTTGCATAGAACAGAGTTACTTATTTCTCGTTATGGCAGCCACTAATCTATAACATTCGAACACCTGGCTTAAAAGAAATAAAAAAAGTTAGATATAGAAATGGACGGATAACGAGATCGACAGATAAGTATTTAAACACATAAGTAAATTGCAAAATATTGCTGATTCATCCGTAGACGAGAGATTGTAAAAACCTTTCACTATGCAAAAAAAGAAATAAAAAATATATTAGATGATGCTAATAGAAGATCATGACGGTTATAAAAAAGATAACTGAATAATAAAAATTAATGACAATGATAATAGCAATAATAGCAACAGGGAATCAATTCTGCTCTTATCTTGGCACACGAAAGAGTCAGTGGATCTAAGTCAGTGTAGTCGTTGAGGAGATAAAGAATTTTAGAATTACTGTTTATCGGCATTCCTGTTATTGGTACCTTATCATCACCACAAATTCACCGACTGCATTAAGGAATTTGTTGGCAGGAGTTGCATGTCATTAATCAACACAAATTCACTATGTTGAGGCATCGAGTAACATTCAACACTAAATTGCATATCATAGATTTTATCAGTATCTGTTAATGAAATTGGAGCATACAGATTTTTATGATTCATTGCTGTTGATTTAGATTAGCAGAACCTATTCTTAGGCTTGGTTCTTAGGCCTGGATCTTGATTTCGGTTCACGATACTTTTCTTTCCGGTACAGTGAAAGAAAATGAAAGAAGGAAGAACTGGAGGCAAGTGCTCGTCCAGGAAACTCTCTCACTGCCTTATGTGTAATGCCAAAGAAATCCCTTCCCCCCCTCCCCTCTATCCCTTCCCCGTCTCTACCCCCTTCCCCCAGTCCCTTCAAAATCCTATAAAGCCTACCTCAGCCTTCCCCCTCCCCCTCCTCCCTCCCTTTCCCCCCCACTCTCCACCCCTTCCCCCTTCTCCTCTTGTTCCTTCCAAAATCCTACAAGACTATCTCACAGCCTTCCCCCCCTCCCCCTCCCCCTCCCCCTTCTCCCCTTGTCCCTTCCAAATCCTACAAAACCTATCTCAGCT